CGAAAGGGATAAATAAGCTTAGAAAAACGCGATTTTTCCTTATTTTTCCTCATTTTTTCTTAATTTTTCTTATTTCTTCAATTTCGATCGTGATGGTATAAAGTGGGCGGAGCTTGTTTGGAGGAGTTTTAGCTGTGTAAAAGCGCTGAAAGTGAGGTTATTTTTCCCTTTTTCAGATCTTTCGCTTAATTTTTCGCTAATTTTGTCGAATTGGGAGGAAGAGGGGGTAGAGCTTCATTTGAAGTTGTTTGGGTAAAGTGGGCGGGGCTTTGGTCGGTGGATTAACAGTTTTGCAGTGGTTGATGGTAATTTGGTGGTGCTCACAATGGGGAAGTCGTGGCTGTTTGAAGCCTCGGGGTCTAAAGGTGAGGGTGTAAATCTCCAAAACTGGCAAAATCGAAGTTTTTGAGGTTGCGAAATCTCCAAATTCTCCAAATCTCCGATTTTATCGATTTTCGGAATTTCGCAACCTTCAGAATATCGATTTTAACGATTTTTGAGGTTTTGGAGTTTGAGAAACATCGGATTTATCGATTTTTGACAATTTTTGGGAATTTTGCAACCTCCAGAACATCGATTTTATCGATTTTTGACAATTTTTGGGAATTTTGCAACCTCCAGAATATCAGTTTTGCCAATTTTTGTCGCAACCTCCAGAATGTCGATTTTATCGATTTTTGACAATTTTTGGAAATTTCGCAACCTCCAGAATGTCGATTTTATCGATTTTTGACAATTTTTGGAAATTTTGCAACCTCCAAAACACCGACTTTATCGATTTTTGACGATTTTTGAGGTTTTGATAGTTCTCTAACCTCAAAATATCGATTTTATCGCTGTTGAGCTGTGAACTGTAAGCCCCGCCCACTTTTGATGTTATTATACACCTAATATATGTATATTTTCTTCCACTCACTCCATATACAATACCGATCATAATTCGTCAAAAAAGTCGCCGGAGTGCGGCGCACTCCACCACACTCCGCTGCACTCCGGCGCACTGCGCCGGACTCCGCCACACTCCGACGCACTCTAGCGCACTCCGCCGCAGTCCGGCGACATTTTGACGAATTATGAGCGGTATTGTATGCATCAAACAGGTCCACACCACTTCTGGCCTCCCAAAATGGATCAATAATAAGACATTTTGTAAAGTCGTTGAATTGCTTAACAATAAAACAAGAAACCAAGAACTTTAGCCCAAAAAGTGAGCAAAATTTTGCGACTATTTTTGCGCGACATAAACGCCAAAAAGGAAGAACTGTGTAGGTGGTGATTTTGTCAAGGTTTCACTTGAGAATTTGTGAAGATCTCTGCTGAGGAATATAACTCACGCGTCTTTGCGGCAATTATCAATCCATAATACCTTCAGTAACTGGTTCGAACTCGCATATAACTTTTGCAGAAGACTTTTCCTCCAGATTACCGATCTTCCAGGGAAAACTTTAAGAATGAGTAGTTGTTTACAATTCATTTATGGTGGTCAGCATTGCGCAGTGAGTTTCAAAATCATCACTGCGGAAGAACGAGAGCGGATAGTAGATAGTAAATAGAATCAGTGCGTCAAATAGTTCGTGTAACTACTGACGTGCCAATGGTCCAGTCAATTTAAATGCTGATTTGATTTGATCCTAGTGAAAGTCTTGTCTTACAAATAGACGAGTGAACTGATAAATCTGATACGGGTCTCTAAAAATGAAAAGCTTTTTCCCACATAGAATTTGCCTGAGTTAGCAAAGATTTTTCGATGGAATACTTTTGCTTTGATTTTGATGTCAGAAGTTTGAGGGTCCGGCGACGCGAGACAATCAGACTGGTCATGAAATAAGCAAGCAAAAGGGATACGACGATTGTTCAATGATTGTTTCAGTTTGAACAAAACTACGAAATATCAGCAGGGGCCTGGCACCAGAACCGGCTCAAGCGGGATATCGTTTCTGGAAAAAAAGCAAAGGAGGTATCGTTTTTGCGGGATCCGCGGAAAGGAGCCGCAAGCACACCGCTTATATGCCGCCGGCATGCTTATGACATGCTTTGGTTACCCAATTTTGAGAACACATTATTTGGATCGACTACTTGTTTTTAGGAAGTTTTAGGTTAGTTCCTTTTTTCTTTTCCGCTTCTACTCCCACGGCCTTCCCTCACTACTGGTGAGATCCGGGGTAAGCCGTATATCAATATGGGCGGTATGCATCAATCTCCCGTTTTGAAAGCGGGCGATCATTTTTAATAGAAAAATGATTGCCCGGCCGGGTTGGCCGCAGCTTCATACATTACGGGTCGGGCGGCCAACCCGGTCGGGCAATCATTTTTCTATTGAAAATGATTGCTCGCTTTCAAAACGGGAGATTGATGAATATCGCCCCTGATTTCTGTATAGTGAAAGGATCAAAACGGAAATTGAATATACCTTTGTTTATTCTTTTATTTTATGCAACCGTTATGCTTTACCCCAAACGAACAAAACCGTTGTTTACAGTCAGAACCTTAGTATGGTATGACACTAAATTTGGTGTGCACATGCGCGTGAAGGACATCGAAATTTGGCTCAAATGTTATGAAAACTATTGTAAATGAAAGAGGTGCTAAACTTTTTTCCAAGTTAGCTGAACTGGACCCGAAGGGTTGGTTCCATCTGGTATTCAGCGTAGCTGGAACCAACCCTTCGCTCACATGTTTCTCCATTCTTCTTTGCGTATAGTGTAGTAGACCGTAAAAGTTTTCATATGAGCAAAAAAGCGATTCATAATTTCTCCCTTAGGCTTTTTCATGACCCTCAAAAATATTATAGTCAGGCAAACTGCCCCAATCACAAGTATGCAAGTATGGGATGAAGAAATGCGGACGAAAGAATTGCGAAGAGCGTTTGGAAGGAGGGGAACATCAGGGGGGGGGGGGGAGGGGAGGAGTAAAGGGCCGAGCAATCTAGCCGTCGCGATGTCAGCGCGACTTGTAGGAAATCGCAGCTACCAGAAATCACGACGATGAAATGGCGTGAAGTATGCCCGGCACTTTATACAATATCATTGCTTGGCGATCATCTTGCTTTGGTAAGGGCCGGGCATACATAACGCAATTTGATTGTCGCGATTTGCTGGAAGTAGCAACGAAAACACAGGGAGTGAACTACTAGTTGCTTGCTCATGGACTTACTCTTGCAGTGATTCTTGCATTCTCAAAGCACGCTATGCTAAGCAAGCTTTCAAACTACCCAAAATTTTTGTATCACATTCAGCCCGATATTTCCCATCTGCAGGTAGTTCGTTTTGTATTCTACCAGTGCTTCACCTCTGCTTCGCAAGGCTCGCACTGTCCCTACTATCTGTATGTCTTACTCATTCTCGCACAATAATGACATTAGAACTCACCGCGCTATGCAGACTATCACGAATGATTTGTAAACAACTATTCATTCCCAAAGCTTCTCCATATGAGATCGGTAATTTCGCATGAATGAAACTTTTCTCGAAAGAACAAATGCAAATTTGAACGGTTTTTGGACTTTTCATGGCTTGATATTCGCGATAAGATGCCATAATCAACGTGGGCTACATATCTGTGCAAAAATCTTCTCAAAAGATCGGGTAAAATCTTGGCAAATTGAACATTTACGCAACCAATTCTTTTTGGCGCCGTTTTCGCAAAGTAATAAACTTTAGTTCAATTTTTTAGGCTAAAGACCATAGCTTGCACATTAACATGTCAAAAATATCCGTGAATTTGCAAAAAGTTGCGCTACAGACTCAATTTTACTGACCAAAAGCCAAGTGGATCCGATTGACGCGCATTTTTTGAGGGATCCACACGCTCGTGCTTTTGTATAGTAGACTCTCATGTTGGTAGCAGGCGCTGTGCAAAATTTGGGCTCAGAGGTTGGCTGGAACACGTTCTATGAATTTCGTGACAGACAGACATTCAGACACACACACACAAAAACACGTAAACACTCTAAGCGCGTTATTATAGTAGGATAATCGATTTTAAGCGCAGGACCAGAAGTTTCGGCGTTATTTCAATATCACGTACTCAAAATTTTCATCTTAAATTTTGCTTGAACCGTGTTTAACCGAAACGTAATGCAGTAATAAAGTGTGCATCAATAAAAACCTGAACGGCATAAAAGAATTGTTCAAGATATAAACTCAGTGCCCAGGTTACAAAAAAAAGAGGACTTAGTATTGTCAACTTTAAATTTTGTGCTGCTAACCGTTTTCGGCTATGCTCTTTTGCATGGCATTAACTGCTTTCTACAATTTTTCAAAAAGCTCCAAAACACTCGTTTGCCGCAATTTATTTTTGAGATAGAATACTAATGCGCATTCATGGAAAAAATCTCAGGGTAGCAAGCCGTAAATTCACATGTAGACATCTAATTGTAAGTAAGAGAGAGGCATTAATTGGATGTTTATCCACCAGCAGACGCTCAAACTCACAGTAAGTAATTACCCTAAAATCCCATAGATAAGAGCGGTTTAATTTACCGGTGAAAAATGAATTGGAATAATTGACATTGAATGCAGTCACCCCTCTAACTTGATGGATGGATAAATAAAAATCGGAGAAGAAGTTTAGAAGAAGATCCGCCCCTCAACTCTAAACCCCACCCACTTAATAAACAATTCATATAGAAATTCCGAAATTCCGTTAAAATCGCTATTTTTCTATTATTTATCCATCCATCAAGTTAGAGGGGTGACTGCATTCAATTTCAATTTTTCCAATTCATTTTTACCGGTAAATTAAACCGCTCTTATCTATGGGATTTTAGGGTAGAATCAGCTATCTAACCTGACCTTAACGTTAGGTGAGTGTGATTGCTGAAAGAACATGAGAAGTACATGCGTACAGAGAATTAGATACGAAAACGGTTTATAAAAACAGTTGACGTTTCTCAAAACGAGTGTTTTCAAAAGGGCGGTTATTGTTAACAACAACAGCAGGGAGGTCATGAGCACAGCTGCGTTTTTTTGCATATTGCACTATCACACTTTTCATAAAAGATGTTTGTCCTAATCAAGTCCAAGATTTCAGGAGGCACGGGCTGGGGAAGAAGATTTGGTTACGGAGGCTACAACAGAGGCTTTGGGTAATATTCAGGGTCGAGCAAGAGGTGTGGCACACAACCACCTAATATGACCCCTGTGTCAATACTTTCCCCTTCCCCCCCCCCCACCTTACCTTATCGTTCGCCTTCCGCAGGCATGACATAAAGGTTACCAAGCATTATTACTAACACATTCATTATCATGCCAAACAATCCCGTATTGAGCCACCTAAATGAAGTGGTCATTTTCAAAGATGACTAACTAGATTTAAAAGTGAAATAGCTAACTATTCTGCTCAATACAAAGCACTATTCCCTTATTTATCTATATCATGAATCCTGCTCTAGATAACCATCAAAATTTGGAATCAGAAGCAGGCCAAAATCTCGTATGTCCCATTTTTTGCTTTTAGTGACTGAGTTTGACCAACTTTTTACCGCAAAGGAATCGGACCAGGCCCAAATTCCTTATGTAAAAAATATGAGTTCAGGCTATCCAACAGTATACATGTTGTTCGCTAAAATTCGGACATAGTTTACGCGATCGATCGTCGCGATTCAATCGCTACAGACAAGTGTTAAGTTCACTGTATGCCGATTTTCTTGCATTTTGGTTGCGATAGTTTTCCAACATGACTAATCGTGACTAACTGTCACAACCGAAATACAAGAAGATGGGCATGCAATGAACTCGTAACACTTGTCTGTAGCAATTGAATCGTGACGATCAAATCGCGTGAACTCTATCCGAGACTTTAGGAGATAAGCTAATGGGGTGTGGCACAACCCGAGAAAAGCTGTGGCTGCCACACCTTTTTAAGGGTTGTGCTGCCACACCCCATTACTTACCTTCAAAGCATTCAAAAATCTGCCTTTCTTATATGGTTGCTACTGCTAAACCTTCTTCTCTATATGGCAAGATCATTCAATATTGTTTCTTCTAGGGAAAGATCTAGTAGTTTTTCCAAATGAAAATACTGCAGCTATATTGGATTACGGTAACATGCTAAGTCTGCGCTACTGCCTTTATCGCGAGGGAAGATGGTAAGAACAAAATTCGATAGCTTAATCCTCGTAGTTCTCACAAAAGTGATTTGAGCCTGATTGATCTTCTATAGTCTGAAGATATACAAGCAGTAAAGGATAAATGAGATTTTGGCTTGCTCTTTGTTCCATAGTGCTTATTTAAAGTCGGACTCATATTGTGAGCAAAGGAGTAGTAGTAATTTGATTAAAAGTGCAAAAGAATTACTACAAAGTTACCTTGTCCGAAAATGACCATCTCATTGTGTGGCCTAATATTTGGTAACCTAAAAATTCGCTGGAACTTGGCCCACGGGGGTTGTTTGAATGCTGATCGCTAAAATGATTCTTTTATGCTTTTAGAGTCCCTTCATATGCCTAGTGTAGATACACGGCAGTAAAACATCACTGCTAGTATTTGCATAGTGGGCCTATGTGACATTGTTAGCGAATATCATGTTGCTACTATCACTATCGCCTCGATGACAGCCCCCTCTTCCTTCTCTGGCCCTTCAATACGACCCTCCAGGTGTGGTGTACCAAACCCCACGCTTGACCCTGGTAATATCTTTCGTTAGAAATTTATGTTGTTCTGCAGTTCCTCACTGCCTGGAAAAAATGGGAAGGCAGTATTTGTGATTTGACGAGGTTTTTCTTTTTAGCTTCCGTCGTGGATACGGCCTTGGTTCAATGAGCAGCGGGCACAGTTTCCGAAACGCACTCATCGGAGGAGCGCTAGGTGCATTTGGAGGTTTGTTTAATGTTTTCTATATTCCTTCGAAACAAATTGTGTTCCTTCAGGTATGCTTATGTACGATGCAGGGCGATATTTAATAAATTCGATGGGACGCCCATTTCACTACGGTAATCGAAACTATTATTGGGACGATTACCGTGATGATCTCAGCAACAAAATTGTTTGCTCAGTCACAGTTGACGAACTGATTAAGGCAAGTCCGACCTAATCCTGAGACTGTGTTACGTTCCGTTGCCCTGCCCCCGCCTCCTCTCCACCCATAAAATAAGTTTTTTTCTGTTCTATAAATTCTGTTTTATATGTAGAAGTTGTACACAAAGGTGCATGCAATTCAATTACCCCATTCAGCAGGTAAATAGCTTGCCCGTCGGACTTCGCTTCCGACGGCTTGCAACCTCCGCGAGCTTCGAGATTTACAGATTCTTAGTTACGGAGCACTTTCTTCAATTAAAAAACTACGGACACAACTGCTGGGTTTGAAGAGCGGAATAGAGGCGAACATGGCGAACAACATTTAGACACTGCGCAAGTATGCTGAGTATATGCCAGAAAGTGTATATGGTATGGATCAGCATTTTAAATGCTCCGTCCCATCTGTGCAGGCTCGTGCGCATAGAAGGGTTTGATCGGGCAGTGACCTAACATTGAAGGAAACATGTACTCTCAACAAGGGCATGATAATCCCCACTGCAACTACACTGAAAACTCATTTTTTCTTCTAATTTTGCTCGGAGCGTCTTAAAACATCAAAACGAGTAAAACGCCTATAATGAAAAATAAGAAGAAAAAATTGTGCGAAATGCTTGATCAAAAAAAGAAGTCAGAGGACGAGGATGCTTCGAGCTGTGAACTCCCCTACGCTGCGGCGTACTGTAAAGCTGGAATTCTGCAAAAAGGCACTTCCGCGTTGTGTGATTGCACAAGTCGGGCGATCGTCGTTGGACATTCTTCAATCATAAGCAGAGTCAGCTTTGGCAGATAGCTTCTCCCAAAACTTTCCTTCTCGAAATAGAACGTTAGAAGTAACGATACGAATTTAGAAGCGAGAAGATACGGAGCATAGATGCAGCCGATGAGACTTCTCCATTAACGTAGCTGAAGGAATCTCCATTAACATAGTTGGAGCAAGCGAATGCGAGAATGCTCTACAAACTGTGTAGCAAAGTGAAAATGCCGTTTATCTTGGAAATCTGGATCGAACTGCCTTTGTCCTGTGTTGTTAAGCGATTATCCCTGTTTTGCATTTCGTCTTTTGCCGCGATACTTAACAGTTGATTAGTCGGTAGCCTCACTTTTGTACATCACACCGTCTTAAATTTAGGTGGGTGCCGTCAAACGGGTCCTTTTTGGCTTTTTACAGTTTTACCAATACCTATGTTCTGACGAAAGAAACGAATCGCTTCCTTTTCTTACCCTACTCGTTATGACAAATTCACCAGTCGATAGCTCTCGATTTTTGTGCAATGCCTCAGACTGCACCATAGTTCAATTATTTCATTTGACCCAGAATTCTGGATCCATGGGTTATTATAGGCACATCCTTGAAGGCTGCGTTAACCCTGAGAGATTTTGATTATTGATGCCGTATGATAGCGAGCCCCGCACCAGCTGCAGAAGATGAATTTCGAAACACGAGAAAGTAGAAGTCGCCCAGGTGGATCCATCCATCAACATGGTTGTCTAAAGATTGTGAGATCGAAAGCGGAGCCCAGGGTAGATAGAAATGTCTCAAATTTGATAGTCACATTGAAGGGCACTTTACGGCAAGATTTAGCCACGTTGTGAGTGAAGCTACCTGTGTCGCTTCTACATTTTGGAGCGTTTTTCTCGTTTTGGAATTCATTTTTTGCAAAGACTTGGGCGATCACTTATTCAGAGGCCCCGCTCTTATACAACTTCAAATTTCTCCAACCTCAGTGTGGGTGAATGGAGCCTTTTGATCGTTCCAACATACATTTTTGTTGCAGCTTCCGAAGGATGATCAAAGGCGAAGACGACAAGTTACAAACGGTTCAGTTGTGGAAACTACTACACCAAACTCCAGTGATATCCTTGCAAAAGTATGTAAAGCATGACTCACATGGAAAGTCCTAATATATTCAGGTGCAATATAAGAATGGTACCAAGCCAAAAACAATCGTGTGGGCTTGCGAAAGTCATGAAGTATGTTGCGGTATTGAGTGTTGTCCAGCAGAAGGCACAAAAGGCATTTCGTTTGTTAAGAACATAGGCTGGATAATATTGTGAGTGTCTAGAATATTATGAGATAAGTACAGTACAATGTATACTGAATTGTAAAGAAAGTTTTGCCAATCATTCTTATATTACCAAAATTGAATGTATGGGGCTGATTTGGGATGTGTTTCTAGTGAGCTGCCATAAACGCTATTCGGCTTGAAAAAATAACGATAAACTAGGAAAAGAAACTCGAAAATAGGAAAGTATTCGTTGCGCTCCGGGTTGCGAGGAAGGGGTGGGGGAACGAAAGCCGCCAGGTCCAGCCCCCTCCGCGGACTGCTGGTCCTGGAACGACATGCAACAACGCTGCGAAAGGACCAGCTGGCCGCGAAAGGCGGCTGGACCTGGCGGCTTTCGTTCCCCCACCCGCGAGGAAGCACATTTTCAAGATTATCGATGTGCAGAATTTGCAGAAGTGTTCAAAATCCGCTCGCACACTTCGCATTGGTTGGATGAAACAATGCCCACTTATTTCTCCTCTGTTACCTTGCCTTTTTCCAATCAAGATATAGCTCATTAATTTCAGCGTTCAAAACATACAACTCTCCACCTGGTTCAAAACGCAGACAGCGCGCTTCTTGAGGAAAAACATCTATGATATCTCTAACCGGCAGTCTAAGGTTGTCACTACATATGACCAAATATCGTTGAATGACAACCACTTGTGACAAAGAAAAAGATTCTTAAAAACAGCTAGCCTTTATTGTCAACACTTTCTACAACCCTGTTATAAAATTGTAAGATTCATCAATAACACTGATGAGCTATGGCAGTGTAACAATCTGTTTAGCTTTGTCGCCCTTGGTCTACTTGTCTGCTGTTGTTTGATTTGGAGCATCTATGCTTGTAATCGGCCTCCACAAGGTAAGTAGTTACAAAAGGTAACAAAACGCATAGAACTTGAAGTATTTAGGTATGCCAGTCCCTCGACAGCAATACCCTGCCCCCGAGTATGAGGCTGATGCTCCATATGATGTTGCACCTTATGGCAACGCTCCATATGATGCTCCACCGTATGGCTCAGCTTATCCTGCATATCCAGGATACGGTTATTCACAATATGTTCCTGCTTATGTCCAGCAGCCATACAATATGCCTCCTGCTCCAAGTCCAGGTTATTATTCCGAGCCACCTGTACCTCCTGGCTATCCCACTTCACCTTATTATCAACCTTCTGATTATGCTGCCCAAGAAAATCCGCCTATTCCTCGTTCCCGCCCCAGCTATTCAGCCGAAGGTGTAGAATCGCGGCAGCGAGTGAAACACAAACGATCTGCTGAAAAACGGTCTCATGAATCGAAGCAGAAACGCCATCAGGAATCATCAGTGCAAAAAGAAGCCAGTGTATCACGTGAGCAGAAAATAGGGACAAGGGAAGTAAAGGACAAAGATTCAAAGGAAGGTCAGGATTAATGAATCAGTAATTAACTAGAAGCATATCATAATTTACATCAAGTCACATATTCTACGGTTGAAATATAAGAAATAAAGCATCGTTTTTGCGTGCAACAAGTATGAGTGATGCTCGAAGTGAATTTCTAGGTGGCAAATAGATTATTGATCAGGACTGCGTGTGTGCTTGCAACGCTCGTTTCGTTTTATTCCATGAACAATAAAGTCAACAACTGCTACCAGTGCCGATGCTGTCGGAAATGCCAGTTCTCTTGCAAGCATCATTTGGTTGAAGTTGCTGGCACGCGGCACAATCTTGCGAAATTTTCAAAAGAGAACTGCAAGCGTGCAACAATAGCGTTCCTAGCTTACAAAATATCGGTCGGCCCAGTTAAAGATAGTGGATGACATGGTGCAAAATGAGTTTTTTTCTGGAAAGCTAATGGCGCGTTGAAACCATGTGGTAATTGCGAAGAACAATGCAGCGCTATAACGTTGAGTTGTTGGCCGCCGGAAAAACCGTCACTGCGGAACTTGTGACGCTCATTGGCGTGTTTCTTCACACGCGTTGCCAGGGAGCCTTCTCGCGCTGGTGCCAATACCCGTTCGAACCCGGGGAACCCTCCTGAACTTGCCAAACGAGGAAAGCGAAGGAGCTATGCCGTCGAGTCATTTGTGACGCATGTACAGTATCGCTCGTGATTTGTGAAAAAAAATCACCGCATTCCGCCGCCACTCGCCGAACTTTGGTTCCATCGCCATATCTTGCTTCCGAGTGAACAAATGCTCAGTCCAAAGCTACCAATCGACTCAGCTCGATGAGATGCATTTTCTGATAAAAGTGCCTGTTTGGGCACAAATTGGCACAGTCGGGCAAGTTTTACAGACCCTTCCAAATTTTTGCTTCGTTAGGTTGTTGTCCACTGAAGCAAAAACTTCGAAGGGTCCTTGAAATATGACCGACGTTATGCCCAAACACGCACTTTTATGTATCAAAGGATCTCGTCGAGTTGAGTTGATTGATGGCTCTGGATTGAAGAATCGCTCACTCCGAAGCAAGTTATGGCGATGGAACCAAAGTTTAGGAACTCCGGCGGAGTGCGGTGATCTTTTTTTTACACAAAATACGAGCGGTAATGTATGGTTCATTCTTAAAATGTTACGACTAGTCTTTTCGCACGCAGGAGCATAAAACCCTTAAACAAACAGGCAACATCTCAACGCTCAGCTCAGTCAATTACAGTCTCTGTATACTACATGTAAGCAGAAAAACTGTTTGAATAGAGAAAGAAACTAAGAAATGGGAGTGCGTGCGTGCTGCTGTGGTCGCGCCATCGTCACGATTCTTCGAATGCCCTATACATTTCATAACGTGCGCGGCATTCTACGCTTGCTTTAATATACCAATTTCCAGGTATTATCCCTCATTTGCAGCCCGCGGGTTCAGGCGGGTTCGGAGGGTATTGGGGGCATTGGACTAGGAACAAAGAATACCTGAAAAAAAAGAATCAATGCCTGCCTTCTGACAATCTCGCGTCCTCATGTCTACTGTTCTACTGCACGATCATAAAATGTTGTATCGGTGACATGAGCACATATAGATATTGTTCTAGCCCAAATCGATGATGCATCACGTGCACCACGTGCACCTTCAAGTTTCAAATGTTTAAGCTTAAGATTTTACACTTAATAAAGTTTGAAACGCTAATTCAAAAATCTGCCTTCCTTATCTATGGAACATTTGTGGACGAGAAGCTATGAGCGTTTATTGGAGCAAAAAAAATTAAATGCATTTAAAATGAGTTGCTAAAATTTCCTAGTCCTTATATGCAGTCAAGTGTGATATATTTTTTATCCCAGAGTTTTATCAAAGTTCTGATGATTGTCACTGTTCCATTCAGGCGTTAGAAAAAACTTTACAAATATTTCTATCTTACTTTCACATTCAATTTTTGCTTCAATACGCTCATAACTCCTCGTCCATAAATGCTACTTAGATAGAGAGGGCAGCTTCAAATCAGCGTCTTATGCTCTTCAATATGGTGTAGGTCCCGTCTAAAAAGACGCTTTGACTGAACATGCTTGCCTTCCAGTTTTCACACAAGATAACAATGTTTCATTTGCTCCAGATCCGCTACGGTGTAAGAGATTAACGGGACTCAGGAGTCCGAAACTGTTGAGCGGGGAACATGTGTTCCCGCTTTCAGAGGTTTCAGTCGCGGGATTTATGGTGTTACAGTTATCTTCATTCTGTCATAAAGTTAACAATTCGGCTGATATAATTTACCAGTGCGTCACCTCCGCTTTGCGGAGGTTCGCACTGGCTCCCTATCCGTATGCCTTTCTCATGTTCGCATGAGAATGGCTTTGAAACTCACCACGCGATGCTGAGCATTACAAATAAATCGTAAACAACTGTTTTCATTCATGAAGCATCTCCATGTAAGATCGGTACTTTTGAGAAAAAAAACTTTGTTGCAAGGAAACAAATGCGAATTTGAAAGGAACCGAATTTATTTCAGTTTAATAATCGTTATAAGGATGATAGTCAACCTTGGGCTACATTTTAGTGCAAAAATCTTTTCAGTTTTTTCAAATAAAACCTTGCCAAATCGACTATCTACCCTTCATCACTTCTTGGCGCTTTTTTTCGCAAAAAAGAAAAGTTTTTGAGCAGTTTTTGGGCTGGAATTCATGGCGTGCAGAGTTACTTATCAGACAAATCATAACTTTGCAAAAAGTCGAATTAGTGATCAGGTTTTGCGTGTCAAAAGGCGCGTGGACCCGTTTGACGCGCAAATTTTGAGGGACCCGCTTATCGAGCCGGCTCGTCCTTGCATGGTGGGCCTACACGCTGGCACGCTACGTTATGCAAAATTGCAGCCCGATAGCTTAGTTGCAGCTTCCTCTATGAATTTCGTGACAGACAGATTTTCACACAGACACACAGACAAAAAAAAACAGACGGCCTTAGCGCGTTATTATATAGCGCGTAGGTTTTATTAGCGTAGCGTAGGTTGGCTAATAAATAAATTCGGTCGCTTTGCTCTTACAAATGCTGTAGACAAATTTTTGTTGAATGTTTGGTATCTCTGAAAAGAGCACTTCACTGGGTATTGGTGCATATATTCTGTTTGAGTAAAACTTATCTTCCCAGGAAAAAATCCACAAAGAATTGAAAAATCGCAATTTTCTCATAATGCGCAAATATGAGGAAATTTGGTTTTTTTAGTGAAACATTTTTAAAATGGCAGATCATAGTTCATTTTGTTGTTCACTAAATAGGGATAACTCCTCTGTATCCGAACACCAAAGTGCTGTTCTTTACATCCATTACAGCATGAAAACGAAGCTTAAGAAGTCAAAGAATTGAGCTGTTAGAAATTTCGCCATGTTGAGGCATAACTGTCTTTACTGACGACAGAAAATCCTGATTATTTGATATATAATAGAGGAAGCTTCGAACTACTTTCCCACAAAGAATCATGGATTGAAACTAACAAAAAAGGTTTTATGACAATTTGTATGCCAAAACGAACTTACTTTTTAGCCAACCTAATAGTAGGATTCTTCAAAACTGGCATAAAGACAGCTGACAAATGAAGACATTGCCCAGCAATGATAGACCTCATTGCGGCTTTTAGGCGGTCAAGAGACTTGAAATTGTGTGGTCAATATTGTTTTGCCAACTCGAGGTTTTGGTGAAGCTCTTTATTACATCAGTGGCCTAACGTTTCGACTACTCGTCGTCTTCAGAGGCCTAAAGCGGTGCGGGATTAGCGATATTATGTCTGCCCCACCAAGTGCTTCATCGACCCTTGGATAGTTTCTCGATCCCCCCTCGAGTATTACAAGCAAAATTCGCAAGATGGGAAAGACGAACGCACCATTGCTCCACCGCCGGTGCACTTGATGGTATGTGCGCTCCCTTGGTGACAGTGTAGTGCCAATAAGCCACATTGAGCAGCTCATTGTTAGATGTAATCATCGCACTACCCTATCATAGCTCACAGAGTGACAAAAACGGCATGAGGTCATTCGTAACGGCTAAGCACTCGTTTCTGTTGTTCATAAGCGGTTTTCTGCGCGTGATCCAAAATGCTTCGAGAGCTTTCCGAGCAGAGGTATCTTCTTCATAAGCCAAAATTGTACACTTGATTTCGTAGTCTTCGCCGCAATGGTACTCATGTCTATGTTTCCCGAGAGGCGAGACTAGATTACCTTTTCGTTTATTGGCGAGATGTTCTCTAACTCTCACGCCAAGTGCTCTTCCGCTTTCTCCTATATAGCTAGCTCCACAAACTAAACATTCTATCTTATATATAAAGCTGAATGTCTGTTTGTCTGTCTGTCTGTCTGTCTGTCTGTATGTATGTACGTATGTTCCGAATAGAAAATTCCATTTCTAAACCGATCGGGACCAAACTTGGCACACATACACTTCGGGCCCCGGCGGGTGTCATAGGCTACTTTTCGTATCGATCGATATCGATTTTATCGATTTTTGGGCATGCTCGATTACACCCCTCTGCCAAATTCCAGCCCCCTAGCTCAAATTTTGCAAAAAATCGATAAAATCGATAAAAGTAATGCACGGTTTCGAAAACTAATATTGTATTCGTAATCGGCATGCTCGATTACACCCCTCTGCTAACTCCCAGCCCCGTAGCTCAAATTTTGCAAAAAATCGATAAAATCGACATCGATCGATAACGAAAAGTGGACTGTGACACCCGCCGGGGCCCGAAGGGTATGTGTGCCAAGTTTGGTCCGGATCGGTTAAGAAATGGAATTTTCTATTCGGAACATACGGCGGAGCCGGGTAAGCCAGCTAGTCTGTTATATTACTCCCGTCTTCGCGCAGTCACCAATGCTGCTATATGGACAAATAACGCACTCTTTCGAGATACAATATTTGTCATAGAGCCTGTCTCGTACAAGCCGTTTCTTTAAATTATCGCTCGGAACATTTACTAAAATGATATCGTCGCTTAGCTGCGCTCGTTTAATACTCTGCCGTATTGCAACACAGATTTCATCCGAGACAAAAGGAAGACAGAGCGCTATTTTGTTGTTATATTGAGCGGTATTATGTGAGGAATATGGTCTACCACGAGCATGATGCATCAGATAGCCATTGTTCCTCGCGATGCTCAGTGCAACATTTCGCGACTCTTTCTGCTCTTCTTCTCCCGTACACATTTGTGTTGCTGTTCTAAACATATTTCGGATAACGGCATTCTTGACGGCTGATGGATGTGCCGAACGAGCATGTAATAAGATGTTTTTGGAGCTATTCTTACGATACCATTTAACATTTGTGTTGCAGCCAGACAGTTTGATTTGAACGTTCAAGTACGGAAGCCAACCATCAACCGGCTGTTCGCGCGTGAATCTTATGTACTGCGACTGCTGATTGAGCAATCGAAAACACTCGTCCATTTCGGACTGAGTGGATGTTACAATACAGCAGTCGTCTATGTAGCGACAGTACATAAGTGGAAGTCTTGACAGCACGGGTTGTTCGATCCTGCTCATGAAACATATTGCAAGAACTGGAGCAAGCCTTGTCCCATTGCAAGTCCTCTTACTTGAGCAAAGTAGGTGCCTGACCATCTAAAGATATTACAATTCAAACATTCTCGGATCAGGACCATGATGTGGTTCTTGCTCAATCCAAAGGTTTGAATGCTCGCACTAAATTCATCCATCATTTCAGATACCGCTTGTAAAGCGTCTTCATTTTGGACGTTAGTATACAGAGATACTACGTCAAATGAGTCAGCTATACATCCATTTTCAAATTTACACGATTTTAAGCGGTCGAGGAATTGTTTAGTGTTCGCTTAACTGTTAAAAAACTTACCGGTCAAGAGACTGTTAGCTGTGGGCGGGCTAATATTTACATACTCCTGGCATAAGGAAATACATTGCCATTCCGAAATTTGTTCGGACACTTTTTACCTTGAAACCAGAGAGCATTCGTCGCGACAGCAAGGACTACCTGAACTATTTAGAGTAGCATCAATGATCAGTGGTACGATAGTCAGATAAAGCTGCCGCAACAAAAAATTGCCAAGATAACATCATCCTTCAAAGCACTTGTTTATCTCTGTTAGGAGTTAATAGTTGGACAAAAACAGCAGAAAGGTTGAGAGAGGGAATTTCACTAACGTATTACTAACGTATTGAGCTGTGAAAATCGCTTATTTATGCGAGGAATCGTTTTGATCAATATTGACGGAATAAGAACTCAAACGCTATGGTCGTGTTTTAGTGCCTGAATATAAAACTTTCATTTTTTCCAAACGTCTCGTTTCCAATTCCACTTACAAGCAAAACAACTTATTTTTAGCCATTTTAATGAGAGTTTACGTTCTTATTTTGTGTTTACAGCGTGCGAGTTTATTGACGATTTGCGAGTTTATTGACGATTGATATCTTTTGTCCATCAATGCAAACGTCAACTAATTGAGCCTTCCATGTAAGCCGCACGCTGAGAGAGATGTTGAAATGCGATGTTTTCCATCTTCAGCGTTTACGGAATTGCTTTACAGAAAAGTCTCACAAGTACAAAATTCCATCAGTTTTTGCAATCAAGTTTCTATCTTTTGTATTCAGAATAGTGAAATTATAAGCGTTCGCGTGACACTACAAGTGATACAGGATCGTGTCCAAAGACCGCTCACAGCCCGCATTAGGCCTCATGGTTGAATGTGACGATGTTCAAAGCCGAAAGAACCCCTTGAGGGATATTTGTGCATATGGATGAATTTCTAATGCATTTGGCAACTGAGCACTTTTTCTCTCAACGCCTTTCCCCTCCTCCTCCTGCGGATTTCAAAATTCCCATGACGTTCCGTTTTAGGGTCACGTGCAGTCTTGCCGGGGTGGGAAACCAAACTTGAAAAAATGCTTTTAACTTCTCATGCATTTTTCGTCCTTTCCTCACGCGCTGTTTCAGATAATCAGAGTGTGGCTCTGCTACACTCTGATTACCTGAAACAAAAATTCATCATGGTCGGTAGTAATCTGGTCGAAACCCCGAGTTTAAAGCTCCGCGTTAACTCAAAGATAGTTCCGTTCCGTTTATGATATTTAGAGTTGTGCTTATTGAAACTCTGAGCTCCGCTCTCAAAGTTCCGAGTTCAACTTTCAAGCTCGGGGTTTTGCTGTTTGAGGGGCTGTTACTGTTACTTTGCTGCAAAAGCGTCGTCAATATAGGACTCGAACCTGTTTGGTCTAGCGTTATGATATCACTAAACCGCTAGACCATGACACGCCCTTCAAACTCAAAGTTGTTTCGCCGTAATGTAGTCTTGCATTGATACAAAGCAAGTCAAATATGTTATATCAAAGGCTCACTCATTTTCATTTCTGTCGAGAAGTGGTGGTTTATCGCACGGATTGATCTTTTGCGCAGCTGAAAGCTTCAAACAATAGAGAGAGCGAATAGCAATGGTAAGAATGGACTATTAGTGTCTGCGCACAGATTAACACATTGACGACCATACAGATTTTTAGTTGTCTTCCTTCTGGGATCAAAGCCTTTTACGGACCAGCCCACATTTTTTGGACTATTAGGTTGTCCGGAAAATAATGTCGCATGGCATCCTACCGCGACAGAATGACCACAAACAAACAGCGAATATCGTTTGATAGAGCAGAGCAAGCTCCACAAGATAATCTACAAACCTCCGCGGAAATCGTGCTCCACCTGAAGTTCGAATCCAAAATATAGAAAATTCTAGATATCCGAAAAATCATATCCCTATTCATAGACGTCTTATGGATCTCCAATTTGCACAGGCGTGTACTTACACTAAACTTTCACCTGTAAGTTTGTGGTATTTTTCTATGGCTACAGTACAAGAAATAAAAAGAGGTCAAAAGTATGAATACATATGTCGCTTTTTCGGATTTTTTACAAGCAATTTGATTTTTCTCGAAAACTGGCGCTTGTCTAAAGCTGAAAATTCATGGTTATACTCCTAAAGGTTCGTGCTACAGAATCACCCATGTGAGAGAAGCTCAGGATTGTTTTGGCAAAAATGTGCCGAATTTCGTTTTCTCAATCTTCAGGTATGGAAAAATCGCGAAAATGTGCATACGTGTGCCTCGTATCACACGAGTGAGCAAGTTACGGGTTCCCAGGACTTTTCTGACAGAGATACGATTTTTTTTCGTTTTTATAGATCTTTAGTGCCTTGTGAAATTTGGCTCCAAACTTCACGCGCAAATCAAACCTGGCACAAAGGCTCGAGCTTCATTTTGTAGGGCTTGTTTTGATCTATCGGTTGGTACACCATTTACTTACTTTCGTGCTCACTCTGCGACGATTTTGCATTTTAAAATAAAAACGATATTATTTTCCGGACAATCTAATATAATGATGCATACTAACATCTACAGTATACCTACAGCAGATTTGAAATGCTGACAAAAAAGGTCATCCCTAGATTCAGTGTGCAAAGGAAAGCTCATGGAGTGAGTTTATCCCAGGATAGTAGTCATTTTGCAAAATTCAAGTCTTGACACACATAGCGTGTCAAGCGGTCCCACGCGTTAGTCACTGCTTGACACACCATGTGTCTCAAGCGGTGGTCAATGTATCAAACCCTCCGCGCAAAGCTTGCCCTCATTCTATGATTTGGACCACTTACAGTATATTTTTGTGTCCGCCCCTCATTATAGCAATTAAAGAAGATGAGGTAGCCTTTCAGGTAGAGGCAATGTTGTCGTAGTTCTAGCATAGTTGCGTAAAGGGGCTCTTCTATTCTATCTCCCGTGAAATATGCTGGGCAACGGTCGACCATAGCGTTTAAACCTGATTGCACCCTTCGAACAAATCCTTACTGCAAAGGCCTAATAAACGGTTGATGAGTTTTTTCGCATGATACAACATGACCCTCCACAATAAACGCCGTCAATGCATGCCCTGACCCAAAGGCAAAAGTATTCAGTGTACTTCTGACCTCGCTTCAGCTAATTGTCATCTGTTCCGCTTTCTTGCAAAGCATATGAACGGTGCTGGTTTCAATTCCAGAGCGATCTCAAGCGCTAAAACGATACTACCAAACCCGCAAAGTCAGAAAAAAGAATCGAAAATTTGGTGGCTCACATACCATTAATATATTAACAATATTTTGTTATTTCGTTGATTTATGAAAACACTACAAGCTTGTGGTACGACCTGATACATAACGACTACCCTTATGCAATTTTCAAGCTACCCTAGCTTCGATTGAAAAAAAAAGAAAGGCCACAAGGATCAAAACTATGTGAAAAGACGATCTTGATACACAGCAAAAACTCAAAATATTGATCTTTTGCAGTGATAAGTAATATCACATCTAATCTTATGAAAAATCAACGGTTGTACATGCAAATGGAAAGATAAGCACTCTTAAGGCAACACCATCTTCAGGAATTTCAAACATCAACAACCGGCAAGTAAACTGTAGAGATCAGGCAACAGAGGTAGTGACACAAAACTCGGTTTTTCGTCATCAAGGACTATGCCACCTTTCTTATAAAGTCAATCTGGCATGCACGTTACTTGGAAAAGGTTATATGTATATGTATGTTTCAGCTGAAAGTGGAGCACAGCACCAGCTATCTACTGCACAGTTCTTGCTGCAACTTTTGATGAGACGTCGATCGCGAATGAAGTTGTGAAGGTCCTCATCTTCATCAAAGTATACCCAGCTCTTGCAGCCAAACAGCTCCGAAAAGACATATGACGAGCACCACTGGAACGCCGATAGCGACAGCAAGGATGGCTCCAAGAGGGACTGAAATGCAGCGTTATGAAAGGAGACGTGAGTGATGGAGAATATAGCACACATTTCCGCTTGTTTTCTTCTGGTAAGTACGTGGTTATCTTTGTGCCTCCCTGCGACGGCTGCTCGGGATCAGCATAGTAGTAACGATCTCGACCGTCTGAATCATAATTACTGAAAGAGCTGCAATACGGCATCTGAATGTATATTCTGCTTTGTATTAGGTTGTTGCGAAAGTTCTGTCGCGCAATTTTAGAAAAATCATAACTTATTGTTGTTTCGACGAATTTGCACAGATTTGAATTTGCTTTATAGAAGAACACATATTTTGTCCGCATAATGCCCTAGCTGCTCTCTGATTAAGCTTTTGAGATAGAAGCACGAGAATAAAATCAATCCAATTTTGGTCAAATTAGGCCGACAAAATTCTGAATCTTGCGATGAAATTCAAAGCGAGCAGTAACCTGAGTTTTTTTATCCACTCTTTCCAATTGTCTGTGTTAATTTGCAATGCTCCGCAGAGTGATTTCCGGAAAAAGTGAAAAAAAGTCAAAATTGCTGCTTTGTCTGCTTAAAAAGCATTGAAAGTCAATTAAAAATCATAGTTCTTCGCAGAGTCGCTCATTACCTACTCTTGATAATATTGAGTAACAAGAATTGAGATGTGATGAAATTTTGGTTTGAAAAAGAGACTTCCCGGAAACAGTGAAGAACTTGCGAAAAGAGTTGGCTTCAGCACTGCATTCAAACACCTTGTAGATGGCAACAGATGTGAATTGTATACTATTACACATAGGGTCTCAATGTTTTGGGGCAAAGCGTTCACCTTGGCATTGAATGAAAAGATAAGTTCAATCGCTGTAATCAGGCTTCTATATCATACATTCATTTTTGGTGGTAGGCAATGAATGGTATGCAAAATTCTCACATCGAATTTCAGATCCAAGAAAGTTATTCCTGTACTCAGGTTTACGACAATATTTGTGCTCTCATGTTCTGACCTTAACTTCGCAATCAAGGCAGGGAGAAATAAATAGACAGAAGAACAAAACCGAAGGATACACCTCCTCCTGTTATATCGGCTCGATGCTAACAGTCTAGCACCTTATGAGGACCTATGAACGAGAGTAAATATTATGCCTTTATTTTATTTAGCACAAGAAGCGCGCCTACTGCTAGTCAAAACGTTTTAGGCAGTAGTGATTAGGAAAGAAAATTAGTGAACGCAACAATTTTAGATGGCGCTGTAGCAATTGGAATTCTACATAAACATGTTTTATTGAAAAACAGAAAGGCGGCTCTTACATCTTCCATCTCATAAGTATTAGGTTTTTGTTTTATCCGTGCTGTGAACGGATTTTGACATTAGGTGTAAGGAAAATTTCGTATATTGGTGGTACGACTTACCTCCTGGAGCTGCCCGATATTCACATCCCAACACACCAGATCCTGAAATGTTCTTGCATTAACTACTTGGTTTTGATTTCCAAATCTCCTTTCAGTCTATGGTATGCACTTCCCTAGGACAGCAAGGCGGTAGTATAATTATCGCTAATAATAAGATACTTGTTAAACATCTGATCCTTTAAATAGCTACTCTACCGTTCTCTATCTTACGTGTCACTCTAGCTACTCACTAATATCTCTACAGCAAATCTGTGATCTAGATTCTATCCCGACCATGACTAAAGAACTTTATAAAAGAAAATCTGGTTTTAACGCGTCCTCTTGACGATGCAATACCACTTACTGAGGAAATGCCACTCTCCTTCAAGAGTTATTACTAATTCTTCGGTCAAGCTTCATCAAGAGCTAGATACCATTCGTCATGTGTAAAGTAATTGTTTGAAATAGCGACTTCAATTCTAGCGCGGTCATACTAACAGCAGAATAAGATCGCTTTGTATTCTTAGTCCGACTTCTAAAACCAGTACCTTTTCTGAATTCTTTATCGGAGCAACGCGCTTTTAGGATTAAGAGTCAACAAACTTTCATTGAGAAGGAGAGGGTATAAGAGAAATCAGCACCTTGCAAGGTGATGGCACAGTACATACTCTAGATTTGTTCTGTTAAGTTCAAGAAAACAAACCTGGTGGTGGTGCTGCACGATATTCGCATGCCAGTACTCCTAGAAATCAAGCATTAATAAGATGTAAAATAGTTAGTAATTCAGTTTGAGTCCTGCTATACTTGTGGAACTTTTCAATACTTTTCAAACTACTTTTTAGCTCTCAGTGATAGCAACGGAACTGGAGCTCATGATTGCATGCTCTAGCTATGGCCTTGATAGATTTTTCAAATATGAGATGACTTGTGACTCGCAAATCACAATTATCGCATTTTCTGTGAACACGCTATATATTCGATGTTTTGGGCAGATTGAATTTGATTGCTTTGACCTTGGAGATAGCTACAGAAATGCAATTGTTTTTTTCAAAGAGACAAATTCGAGCAGCGAAGTAAAAAAAAAATCATTCTTTGGAATTATTGATACTGCGATGAAAAGGCTCCGCTTTACGATCAGGTCTTGATGTATCTTCCAACAAAGCTATGATTTTTGGTTGATAATAACTACCAGAATATCATCTCATAATCTTACTGCAGTGTCAGATCATAACTTAAAAATTAGCGGATCTTCAAAGCAACCTTTGCTGCGAACTGTGGCAAAGCTTATTCCGTTGAAAAAATTTTGACTGCTGTGGACATAGAAATTTTTTTGTTCAAGTTCAATGCCAACAATAGCGCACTGAGCGCAAATTTTTGTAAACAGACGTCATACACTTGGAGAGGACCAGTTCTAATGTTTTTGCCAATCGCCTCAAAAAATGCTGGTTGTTGTCTAAAAAAGTGCAGAAACACTTTTTCGTCATTGACTAAGTAAGCAGTACAGCAGTTCTGACTGAACACTTGGTGAAATTTATCTCCAGATGAGCTGGCCATAATTTAGAAATATAGGTCAAAAAGCCAGTAGAAGGTCTTCGAAATGTAAAGAAATTTACAGAAATAGATTGTATTGACTGCGAGATAGTTCACTGCTGGTGCCTCATGACTTTCGCACTCATTCGGATTTAGTGTAATGTTTACTATCAGAGGTTGAAGTAGACAATGAAATCTCTTACAACTTAATCCGACCTCTACTTCCGACATGATCGTTGAATCTATGCAGATAGAAGACAGTTTGCATTTTTTGGTCTTGAAGAAAAGTGACGAAGATGGAGACCCTGGTTCAAAATTGGCACCGACTAAAATCGTGCTGAATTACAGACGTTTGCGAATACACGAGATTTTTGAAAGAGGTTTGACATAGGCCGAGTTTTTAGTTGACACATACATAACTCTTCCAAAATGAATTTTGCCGAAATAAGCTAAACACTAGATTGGGCAGCCAAAAATTGGTGATCCAAAGCTGGAAAATTTGAGTAAAAAAATCGCACCTCTGTACCAAAATTCTTAAAGTTTCTATTCGCTCACAGATATACATTCTAGATGGAGCATTTGTATGTAATTAAAAGCTTTTAGATGTAATGCAGGAGCTAGTTCTACGAAAAGTCAAGTTCAGCTATTCTTAATGTTGTTTGTTATGCCGATATTTTCTATTATTTTCTCAAGAACTAGCCGTTATAGAAGGTTAAAAACCCACGATTGTATTTTTGAAGCCTTCTGGTAAACATTCAGAAGTGTAGACCTTTTATGGACCGTTAAGCACTGTGGTTTTATTTCATTTTTAAAAACATTGGTTTTCTTCAAGTTATTCCACTTCCAGTCCTTGCCATGAAATTGTGCAAAACTGCGCATCTATATTGCAGGTGTACGAAACAATTTCAAAGCTTCCATAGGTTGATTTTTAGAACTTCAATCTTAATTACTTTTGAAAAATTACATAGCAGAAAAGTGCATTTTCATTAACCTGTTCGCTATATTGCGGAACGAACCTAGGCGAAAATGAAAAAATTGTTGGCATAGTCTCGCAGGACTAGTTCCGCATTTATGTTATAAGTGGTATAAATTGCAAGATTTGTAGCGAGGAGAACGGAAAAAGGGTGAAGTGTTGGCAGAAATGGAGAAACCTCATACTAACCTGGTTGCTCAAAAGACTGTGACGATGTCGGGCGGCTCCGATTCTCGTAATGTTCAAACGTTTCACGGGGGTCAAGGAATATGGGGTCCCTGTAATGAAAAAATAAAGATAAATCGACAATTTTACAAAAGTTGAGTATTTTAAATGATTGTAAAACTTACTTGTTCTTCATCTTTTCTGTCGAATCTTGTGATTAGAGCTTCCAAAGCGAAATCTGGAAATAAGACGAATTGTCTTGGAATGCGAATAAAGCCGAGCAAATGCGATGGAATGCGATAGGAAAAAGAAAATCTACGCGCAATTGATCGGCCCGTTCAAGGTTGAACGTGCCTGGTACCTTCACGACAATGAACCGTAGATTCTAAGAAGTTGAGAGGATGAAGAAGATTGTCGTACGATCATCACGCCTTTGTAAACAAACTGGTTTCGACTGCGAAAAAAGAGAGGAAGAAGAACTATATGGGACTAGTTCTTCTACATATTTCTGCACTAAGTACAACAAGATATGTAATAGCAAAATATGACATTATAATCACACTGAAATGCTATCACTTGATCATTTGCTCCACCTAGAGTATTGTCAAAGACATGCAGCAAAGTTGTTTTGACAAGAACAATACCTCTTTGATATTTGAAAATGTTTTGTGATATTTAGGAACACCGATAGTGCATTCTCAAGTTCCTGAAAATATTTACATTCAGGGACTTGAAAATGTTGTCAGCTCCAAACGGGCAAAGATTGTAATCTCGACGTATTCTCATAATGCAGAAATTTTTATTCAGGTCCACTATGCAATTTTTGGTACTTTTCCGTTATCCGGACCCATTTCTACAACGGGCTCTCGTAAAATACGTTCTTTAGTCTAAGAACAATTGTTCATAGATTTTACAAAGACTGCTTCCCCGCCACGTGTCAGGAAGAATTTGACCCGTTTCAGCCCATTTTGGCTTGTTTTTTTTTCGAATTCATTTCCGGTGAGGTAAAAAACAATTCTGAGCACCTAAAAGCCTTTCAGCTGTTTTCTATAAAATCAAAACTGTCTAGAACCTTATCGCAGAACATCTTGATTGCTCTCAGCAAGAAGTCAAATTTGTCTTTCTCTTCAAACTTTTGGCCATGCGAATTTAGCCTGGAGAGACTATAAATGATGGCTTGCAGTATCGCGCTGCTGCTTGTTACGCCGCTTGGAAGATGGAATCCTAGCGCACTTCTCCATTCTGAGCAGGTCCAATCTGTTCAGTGATAACAGGAAGACGTTATTATTATAACAATGTTAATTCAGAAATTGTTTAATTAAAAATGGGGTCATTGTTAACTAGAACCCAGATTGAGCTTATGTCGTGAGTAGCGCAACGCAAACCCTTGGTAAAAACTGTTAAACATGTAGATGACATGCCAAATTTTTTTGACACGTGGCAGAAGGTTGACATTCCTTCCTATAAAATTGGAACCAAATATGGTGCAAAGTCAGGAGAAATATCCTTCTTCGAAAAAATGGGTCTGGATAACGGAAAAGTACCCAATTTTTATTACTCAGAAAGCGCTTAGATCACCTGTTGTCAGTCACCTTACACTTGGGCTATTATCGAAAAAAACGACGATGTATATTATGTGTTGTAGACATAACATCAAACTAGGTGTCAGTCGGTCCAGAGATTTTTTTGTAATGGAGATGAAAAATTGGTCGACAATACTAGAGAGCTCATATTTCATTCAAACAGAAACTTTAAGACACTCATCAGAATTAGGGAAGACTATTGACAGAATGAGAGCGATTTGCGGACTCAGTAAATTTCAATAAGCAATAATAACAGCACGTGAATTTTCTTGAATATTAGCACCTGCCATTACAGATGTAATGATGGTTACAGATGGCCTACAAATTGGTTTGTAGATAGAAGTTCAGCATAGACATTCAAAATGCATAGGCATGGTAATTGAAATGAAGTTACACACTTTTGTAGTTAAGTTTAGAGGTAATTGTCACCTGCGGGAACGCAGCAACCTAGACTTCAATGCACTTATCAAGAGTCTTTACCACCGCACCACATTACATTCAAATAAAATAAAAAGCGATGATATGGGCTATTAGCGCTATGCTTACACAAGGTAAAATGTGTGAAATGTCCGTCAGAAGGCACAAGAAATGACAAAGGCTCGGCACGAGCTGACACCAAGGCAACTTCAAAACGAACTCATCTTTAGTCTAGAAAATTTCATACGAGTCCCCTTTTACCCTGAACAATGTAAAACCTCAAAAAAGAAAACCTCGCCTAAATCATCGCAAGTTTTTTACGGCTACAAGACGATGAGCTTGACCCGTGCCTAGCCCTGGAAATAACCATTGAGAAGATTTGTCATACGATAAAATTGTGTTCGGAAGAGACATACAATGTTTGTAACAACTCCTACTGGTTGCACTTAGTTGAAATTTATTCCTTAATTTTCTAATACGTGTGTTTGAACGAAACATAAAAGCCCGTTGCTAAGAATTGGTAAGTTGACTTTTTGATTATTAGACTGATAATGAACTTGGTGACCTTCATTCAAAAAAGTTATCATCGCTAAACTAACAAAAGTATTCCTACTTCTGTTATCAGTACAAAATGAATGTCATAAAAGCTCAGCACTGAATGCGAGATCTGTTTGCACTTGAAAGTCAGAAACTTGCATACTAACACACTTTTTTACATTGTTCTAGCCTCATGGAAAATTCAATGAAAAGGCAATAAGATTCCCATCCGGTATGCTCTGGCATTGATGTGAAAAAACCGCACCTTTTTCCCAAAGTAGTAAAGGATTGTTGTGCGATTTGCCGCACTAGTTGTTAACCAGATTGACAGCGTTGGCCAGAAAACTACGACAGCGCTATGTGGCAGTGAACTTTCAACCCTTTCTTCGTTATAAATAAGAAAATTCAAAAAAAGCAAACTTATTGAACAAATGAATTAAGCACGTTAAGATGTATGTCGCACAATCTCAGAGCATTCCGCTTTGTCACCAAGGCAACAGTAGTTAGAGCCAGGACTTTTTTGAGGACAGCAGTCATGTAGAGAATGTTCTAGGTGAGGAATAGAAAGTCGTAAAGAATTGTTTTACAACACCAAAGGTTGAAAAGTCATAGAAAAGTTTGAGAAAACCAAACTGAGTAGAATGGCATAGAAGGAATGAAAAGGTAAGCGAGGTTTTTTCCATTTTTTAGTCAATGATTCGATTTGAAGTCAGGCGCTAATAACGAGAAAAGGAGCAGAAAGAAAAGATAATGTCAATATGTGTATTGAATTGGAATCAATGCTTTGTCAAAATAGTTGCCTTTGAGATGCCAGAAGCCAGAAATCATTACTTGCATTACTTGAAAGTAGTTAAAAAATGGAAAATCTTCTGCTTTAGATGCTCTTGATTTCGGAAAAACAGTTGTTTTGTCCGTGCACATGATTCAGGTAGGTATCTGCGAAATTCTGTAAATGTTGCAAGCAAAGCAAACAGCAAAGGTCATCAAAAAAGTATGAACATGAATGTTCATTTATTTATCTATTTATTTTTATTTATTTTTTTTTTATTTATGATCGGAGGGGCAGACGCAACGAACCAACGTGCTGAGTAGAAGGTTATTACCACCAATTCCCTTTCCATCATCCTTCTACAAAGAACCTGAACCTTGTCATACCGCAGACGTCAAAATTCGAATTCTTTGCTCGGGCATACTTAATGTCTTGAACAAGAATAGAAACACCAAACACACAAATTTGACCCATGCACAATGGCTTGGATTCAGAGAGTTGAAAGGACTGATTGAGAGCGGAATCATACGCCTCTCTACTAGCGATAAAGGTGGGGAGTTCGTTGTCATGTCCCAACAATTAGACCGTGAGATAACTGAGCACCATCTTTCCGACAACACCGTTTATCGCCGTACAAATGAGAAAGAATTCCTTTCTCAATGTAAGCGTTTAAACCACGTGTGGATGATGCTAGATAAAGAAGCTGGAGTCAACGAAAAGTTCCTCAGCAGACTTAAGCTTGACAACCCATGCTGCCCCGTATTTTACAGCCTCGTGAAGACGCACAAACTCTCTGCGCGTGACATGCACTCCGTGTCGGCCTCGGTCTATAAAATTCGACCAATCATCAGCTGTGTAAATGGACCAACCGATAGAATATCATGGTTCTTCAGTAAAATTGTCACCCAATTTCTCGACAAAATACCGGCACATTTGACGAACACCAGACATTTCCTTGACCAATTGCACCATGCTCAGATCCATCAAGGATGTGCAATAGAGTCATTTGATGTAACGTCACTATACACGAACGTCTCCAACAGTGACGCATTACAAGCGCTTTCTGAGTTGTTCGATGCATATGGTAATACTGTTTCGATGTATGGACTCAGTAAAGCGCGCATAATGACTCTGGTCAAAGAATGTCTCAATTGCAATGTCTTCAAATGGTCAGGTACGTACTATTCGCAGATGAGAGGGTTGGCAATGGGCCAAAGATTAGCACCTACGCTTGCCATCTGCTTCATGAGTAGAATTGAAAGACCGGTGCTATTACGAAGCCCACTTATGTACTGCCGTTACATCGACGATTGTTGCATCATAACATCAACACAGTCCGAAATGGACGAGTGTTTCCGAATTTTGAATCAACAATCACAGTACATAAGTTTTACCAGAGAAGTTCCGCGAAACGGTTGGCTTTCCTATCTTAACACCCAGCTGATGATAAACAATGGTACGATACGAGTAAAATGGTTTCGCAAGGAGAGTTCTAAGAATATCATTCTACACGCAAAATCAGCCCACCCGACCGCCGTAAAACGAGCAGTATTGCGGAATATGTACAAGACGGCAACTGAAGTTTGCAGTGGAGAGAGTGAACGACAGGAATCCCTCAAGCTGGCAAATGGGATAGCAGCCTTCAATGGCCACTTCCCATCAAAGTCTAGACATTCCAAAATTACGGTAACTGCTAAAGACAACCAAACTGGCATCAGGATACCACTGTGTTTACCATTCATTTCCGACAAGGTCAAGCACGCGTTCCAAAACTGTATAACACAGGCTCAGCTGGAGCAAGATGTTGTCCTCGTTAACATCCCGCGAAGCAACATTAAGCGACAGTTAGTGCGTAATCGTTTATACGACACAGCTTGTGTTACGATGAACTGCGTTATTTATCCTTACGGAAAAACGGGGGACTGTGC